CACACACACACACACACACACACACACACACACACACACACACACACGCGCGCGCGCGCGCTTGAGCTGCGCTGCAGTGTTGGCAATATTATGAAATCGACGCGTTCAAACATACGGACGGACGGACAGACAGACAGACGGACAGGGCTAAATTGACTGTTCGTTGCCCTGATCAAGAATATATGCATGTATATACTTTGTGGGTTCTGCCACGCCTCCTTCTGCCAGTTACAGTTTTCAACAAATAGGTTCAGGGTATAAAAATTATGAAAAAATTATATAAACAATGATCACACGCTGGATTCGAGCCCAGGTATTGTTGTGTCGTAGGCCGCAGCTTAGCTGCAACGCCATCATAAGCCTCCGTGTGGGTTGGCAGTACGGTAGGTGCGAGGGTGGAGTGGAGAAGTCAGCGAATGAAAAGTTTATATAGGTGCCACTAAGTTGCCTGTTAAGAAGTAGCCCATGGCGTAGCTGATTAAGCCGCTGCTCCTGGGGGCAGCTTGCATTGCTCCACGCATGAAGGAAGGATGGGGCTCGAACGCGGCTTCGAGACGCGTCCGTAAAAATTAAAATGTGGTAAAAATAGAAAACGTTGCCCGACTCTCTGAAACTCAACTTCTTGCTGCACCTTAACTGCCTTAAAATGGACTTACATGTATATAGTTGTAGGGAAAAATAGAAGAAAAATTGATATGATTAAAATGAATAGAATTCATGAAGAAACAACGACTGCGAAAATATCGTACCACTGGAGACCATTAAAAAACAATAATAAAATCACTCAATATTTCTACAAGCTGAGTCAGCGCCAATTGGCGGGTAGTCGAAGCTTGACTTCGTTGCTGCTGTGGGTCTGCCGCAAGCTGCGGATCGTGCCATTGCATCTGTTCATCTGTGTTGCGACTCAGTCGGTAGACAAGAATGGACGAGCCGTCCAAACGCAACGGATTTACGGGGTATCGGAGGGCAGTGCTATCCCAACAGATGGTGCGGTAGTCGGTGATTGGCTCCATTTTCCAGCCACTACACCGGGCTATTCAATCAGCACAAGTACAGTTGATTCTGATCTAGCGCATGATTCAGCGCAGAGCTCACTTGTCTCTCACACTTTGAGCTTAAAGCTAACCGAAACACAGCTTTGTGCAATGAACAAACTAATTGAGCGCTGCCAACTAAATTTCCATTACAAACTGGTTGGCAACAATTGTCAGAATGTTGCGCACGATATCGTCGAAATGCTGCGCAGGCCGAGCTATAGACCTAACTGGGTGTCTGTCGAGAGTCATGATATTTATACAAGCGAATTAACTTGAACAGTGCACACAGCATTGGGAAAATTTATTTTGTTTTGTTTTGCTTGCTCGTTCTGAGTACGCAGAGAGCTTTACAGAGATTGCAGTCGAGACATCAACCCGTATATTGGTTAGGGTTGCTACACAGACTAAAGCATGAATTGCTTATCCTTAGCCCACACCCTGGTTGGTTGTAACCTTTGCTAATTCAGATAGCGCGCATCGCAATGGCGCTCAATGCCGATGCTCACCCGCTCGATTGAGTGCAACTAAAAGCCCATCTCACGCACACACCCGTATAAATATACTCAAATGCTGTGTGGGCATTAATAATAATAAAGAGAATAATAATAATCACGCCACTTGCTGTACTTTAGCACTTGAGACGACGACGCGTCGCAGTCGCAGTTGGCATGTTGATTGCGTTGGACAGCGGACCACGCCCGCTTCCGTTGCGCCTAGCTTCATCCTGATGCCTTATCGCAGCTTGAATTGCTCCATTTTACTCTCTTCCACACTCTCTATGCCAGCCTACACCGGTATTTATGTTCGTATGCGTATGTGAGTGTGTGTGTGTGTGTTTGCCTGCTTGTATTTCATGATTTGATGTTTCAGTTGTTGTTTTTTTTTGCTTTCTTTCTCCATCATTTTGTTTTATGGGCCGCTGATAAGAAATCTGCGTCGTCTACGTTGCTAACTGGAAACTTCACTCCGTCCTGCTTTGCCTCACCCTCTCTTTCTCCATTAAGCATCATTCTGACGTCGCGACGTCAAAGGCAAGCAGCTCAGGCAGCCACAGTGGCTTGAGAGAGCGAGTGAGACGGAAAGGCTTTGCTGTGTTAAGCTCAAAGTCCATTCAGACAGCTCCCTGATTTTTTTTGTATGATTTATTTTTATGTAAATACACACATCTTGCGGTCGGCCCAGCCTCATCATCATCGTCATTATCGGCGTGATCATTATGATTTTACGGCAAAAAGTAAAGTCCAACTGGAAACTCGCTCTACCAGTACGTCGAGCGAGACAGGAGATCAAAAACAAAAAGAAATAGCAGACAGAATAAACCAAGCAGTTAGAGAGCCGCACTTGAAATACCCCGTACAGATTTATGCGACTGACTATAAAATGTGAAATTAACCAAGAAAACTGTGTGAATGCAATTAGAATATGAGGAATGAGCGTTTTGGCCCATTAAAAAGTAAAAAAAAAAACGATTTTATGAATTCGTATATACATGTATAAATATCAGTTTTTTATAAATACTTTGAAAAAAATTTCGTTCCTTTCGATTACGAAGACTGATCGGTCTTACCCATTAATAATACATGGCATATATTTATATACCTAGGTATACATATATACGATTCACCCATAACAAAGTTTGCGTCCAGCCTTATCATGAAATTTTAGAGATAGCTGTAGAAATTCCAAACACTAAATTTCACTCAGCGCTGAGTTCCAATAGCACTAACACATTCATTTGTACATGAATTGATAGTAAAAGTAGAAACTTGTAGGACGATCATCAAATGCATATACCCAACTTGGGAGCATTCATCAAGAATTTATATGATATGTACAACATGCTGAAGAATCTCTGTTCGAACATCGGGAACTTTTCGGTTTTGGGCATAACACATACATATTGATTGATCCGATCCTTAAATGCTTTCGTCTGGACTCCGATTGGCATCCCGACTATGCGACTGAGCAGCTTCCATGGCCAAACCGAAAATTAACTTAGATGCCGGCGGGCATATAAATGAGCGAAAGCGAACTTGAAATTCACTTTTCGTATTTTTCTTTCATATATACATATATTTGATATTTTTTGTATTTTTCGCTTTGGCTCATTATCGAAATTCTCGAAATACTCGAGAGAATTCGCTGTTGCGAATAGTACCTCGCCCCGCTTGTGATTAGACGACCTGTACCCTATGCTCTGTCGCTATCTAAGGCCCCGCTCTATAAATAGGTACCCAATTGAACTTCACATATAGAAATTGGCACTCCGGCACCAGGTGAGCGAGTCCCTGATAAGAAAACGATTCGTAACCGTGCAATTTAATCACGAGCAAACAAGAGCACACAAATCAAAATGCTGATTGCACGTCATTCGCGAGACAGTTATATATGTTTGTACATCCAGATGTACTCATATCTCAATCTGCTGCTAAAGCGATTGACATTCCAGTCGATTGGCTCAGCCAGTCAACAAATCCTAAGTTTATGAATGACACAACCAATAGAGCTTTATCAGTAATCAATAGGTTCTAGCATTACATAAGTCAGTTGCATGGTACGATACGAACTATGGCATGACAGATAGCCCATCAATCAGTTAATCTGTCAATCAGACTATTCATCTAAAAGTTATCTAACCTATAGAATCTCTGAGTTCCTCTATCTATCTATTAGTCAATAATGCCCACTGGCAAATATACACATAGGTATGTAGATACATGATATGATAAATATGATATATATATGTATACGGATATTATATATAACTAAATAGATAGAGTTTAGCCCCTGGCTGGATCTCTATAGAAAGTAAGGACTGAAAAAAGATACAAATACATCTTCAGCTTTTTGCGAATGGATCTGGATGTGAAATTTAGATAGCTGATCGAATGGAAATATTTTAGTCTGATCCAAAACTTAAGTATGTATTTAGAAAGCTCGTCAAAAATAGAAAACTTTTTCCACTAGTTAAATGAACGCAAATAGAATTCTAAATATAATATAAAAAGGCATAGAGTATATAGTGCGAGCTATGCCAAATACAGATAGCTTCTTCAATCCAATTCCACAGACGAGACATATAGCCACTATAGTATATAGTATATTACTGATTTACGACTAAGCAACCACTAAGGAGAACTCCAAAAATTTTGTTTATCTGATAAGGCAAAGGTTGTAATTATTATTAGGTTTTTTTTTTCTGCACAAAAATCAAATTTAATTTGAGTACTACGTGTTAAACTGTGGCCCAGTAAAGTGCACGATAAGTGATATGAAGGGGGGCTGAGGGAGTGAGCGAGAGCGTGAGGAATTTGTACCTTTGATAGGTTTTCCATTGGGACTCATCGACTGACTTCATAGAAAGTGCCAAAAGAAAAGATAAGTTAAACAAATTATAGAACAATTATATCAACTGGCATACGGCCCGTATACATGTATATGTACATATATACCATATAGAGAGGCTATATAACTAGGCGGGCCTTATCGCCCTGGAAAACAAAATGCAAAAGAACTTTGGAATGGGAAACGGAGCAAATCGAATCATTTGAAAATTGGGGCACCGACCAACTCCAGGCACACCACACGCACACTCCTGTATAACAGTATAACAGTGTGCGTGTATAACGTTTATCTGTTGAGTGGTTACTCTGAACTGATATTTAATGCCATTTGCCTGATAAGTTTTTAAGACCCCGTCATCAACTTATCTGCGCCTCACGTTCATAATTCATAATTCACCATTTTCATTAAATTTGTTTTTTTCCACATTTTTTTATTTTTCATTTTTAATTGTATTTTGTTGTTGTTGTTTATGTATATTTTATTTCTGTTTTTGTTAGCTCAAAAGGTATTTATATAATTTGTATATATATATATGTATGTATATATACTTTTCCATATATTTAAAGCATAATTCATCAGCTAAGAATATGTTATATATTAAGCATAATTAAAACATCAGTATTACATATATATATATGTATAAATATATATGTATGTACATATATATATATTTCATTAGGCGAGCTCTCTATCTCGCTCTAGCTACATATAAACTATAATTCAGTTGTTTATCATTAAATAGTATAACGCGTAGGTTAGGAGGGGGGGAGTTGGCTTTAGATATATATATATATATATATATATATATATATACATATATATATACCTGCGTATACATACGCTATATATGTATAGCTAGCATAATTTCTGATCAGAATTTGTTTTGATTTTTTTTCGTATTGGACTTTCTCTTGTTATATTCTTCATTGAATGCATGTGTGTGGCACATGGTCGCCAGGTGGCGCTTTTTAAGTTTTAGCACAGCTAAAAAAAAATTGCGTTTAAAAACGTTTAACAACTACAACTTATATCGATATGCGTATATATGTGTGTGTATATATGTGTATGTGTGTGTTTGTGTTTAGGTGTGTGTGTGCGTGTGCGTGTAGAGATGTGTGTTACTTCAAATAAATATTTACAAAGCAATTGCTTTTGTGTGTGTGTGTGTCTGTGTGTATATGTGTGTGCTTAGGCCACTTCTTAAAACAAAAAAAAAAAAAAAATATATTTAGTTAATATGCAAAGAAAAGAGGCATAAAATATATAAAACTAAAAAAGAAAAAAAAAATGAGAAGCGTATAATAAGGTGGGCCGGTTGTTAAGGCGTATTTCTTTCTTTTCCCCATCTTCTTCTGGGAAAGAGAGACGACGACTTAAATCAGAGCCAACCCGACAAAGAAAAACCCCATTGGCAGCTGCACATCTTTCTACTGTACGCTAGATGGCGTTGCAACGGCTACTTTGCTCTTGGCATTGTTTGCGCTGTTGCTGTTGTTGCTATTGATGTTGTTGCTGTTGATGTTGGTGTTGGCGGTGCTGCTGTTGCTGTTGCTGCTGCTGCTGGGTCCATAGGGTGTACAGTTGTCGCTCGATAGCGTCGACTGCTCCACATTAGTGCCCATCGATGAGTTTATGAAATTGATATATTGATGCAGCTTCAGGGCGGCTATCAGCGAGCTCAGATAGTCGTTGATGTTGCCTTGTTGGACCTGTTTGATCTGTCTGGAGACATTTCTATAGACGCGACGCGAGATCTTATTGGATAGGCGGCCGACGGTCTGGACTGTGTGTAATACGGGGTCCTCGCTGGCGGGAACTGGCACTAAAACGACAAGAAGAGGAAGAAAATGCAAATTAATTTCAAGATCAAGATCAAGCCAAAAAAGAGTTGAGCAAATGCTTGAACTGCTTGCGAATTATAAGCTAAAGTTATTTGTTCTTTTTAGTATGAGAATATTCGTGATATTTTGGTTATTATTATTTTTTTTTTTAATAGTTGTTATTGTGCTTTGTGCTTTGTGCTTACCATTAGGTTGTTGATTTCCCTATCGATAATGCCTACGATCTCTGGGTTTCTTCTAATGTATTCAACAATTTCGGTTATGATTTTCAACGACATGGACAAAAATACCGTCGAGGCGGCTATTAAGAATCTAGTGTCAATCTCTTGATCATAGTCGGGCTCCCCAATACCATTAACTACAAGAGAGCAGATAGACAGCGACAGAGAAGGAGAGTGTGAGTGAGCGAGAAATAGCGAGCAGACAAACATAAAGAAAGAGAGAGGGAGAGAGAGAGATAAGATATGTTTTTAGCAAATTAGTCAACACTGCATGCTTAGCTAAGGACAATTGCTTAATCACAATGTGACGAATATCGGATATGGCCCTAGGGAGTTATGCAATTTGAGACCCACTTGAAACTAAGTCTGAGAATCGATTAGAACTATGCACCAATTTCGTTAACAAGCAGACATGCTTAACATTAAGGTTTAGGTTAGGTTCAGGACTAGGGTTAGGGTTGGGGTTAGGCTTAGGGCTTAGGTTGGGTTAGGTTTGTGTTAGGTTATGTGTTTTGTTTTTGTTTGGATTAGTTATAGGGCGAGTGTGGCTCACACTTACTGTCATTCTCAGCACTTTTGCCATTTCGCACGACAGCTTTTTGTTTATCTGTGAGAATTAAAAATATTTACGCTTTATTGAGGTCGGGAAGTGGGGAAACCCGAAACTAGAAACAATTATTGAAGACAATGTTGTGGGCATTTTCCAGGGTTTGCTAGGAAACTTGAGAAATCTATTTACATGAGACTGAAAGTTGACTCTGGGAAAAAATTCGAGTGTGCAGCGGAAGTATTTAATGTGTAATCTATATTTGTTTATTTGACCCAATTACGAGTGTTATTGATCTATCGAAATCTGAGAGTGAACAATAATATTCCCATAGATAAAATTGAGTTAAGGTATTTATTTACTCTGAGATATGCTCTCTCTCTCTCTCTCTCGGAAGATCTATCATACTTGAGTCATACCCTGGAAATGCCCTTTTGCAGTCTGTAGTACAGCTAAAAGTATCTATCTTCTCTGGATTTACTCACCATTATCCTCCTCGATGTCCGAATCGCTTTTGGGGAAATAGTATTCGAGGAGACGCTCAGCCAAAGCTGTGGTCGTATCGACCCCATTGACAGCGAGGCTGCCGTATTGGGTGGCCAGCACCTCATTGGCCTTCTGCCAGGCCAGATCCTTGAGTGAGGCGGCCTTCTGTTGACCCGCTGCCTTGAATTTGACCACACGATCCAAATGAGGTTGAACAACATCGATGACCTTGTTCTTGGCCTGGGCATAGATCTCCTGCGGTGTGTCCTTAATGATCGGCGCCTTAACCTCCAGCGTCTCGATGCCCTTGACCAGTGTCTGATCCACATAGGCGATGGGCCGGTCCAAGCGGTTCACAATTGGTGCAGCTGTGGTTACGGCGCGTGCAACGCAATCCTCGGCCGCATTCAAGGCCCAATTGAAGACGCGATTTTTGCCTGAGAGAGAAAAAGGGACAGAGAAAGAGAGAGAGAGATAAAGAAGACTATTATTTATGAAACTATCTGAATATGTGTATATAAGATATATATATGTATAAATATATGTATATAAAGGCTTTTTAAACAGTGACAATTGAGCTCTGGCCCGACTGATAAGCAGCTGCAATACCCCGCCCCCTGTTCACGCCCAGAGACTCTCGGCTCGAGAACTGTGCCTTATCGCCAGTTGTTGGCGTTGCCTGATTGATAAGCAACTGCGCAGTTGCCAGAGTTTTGTTTTTGTAGTTGTTATTACTGTAGTTTTTAGCTGTTTGCTATTAGTGAGACTTTGATAGCTGCTGCCCATTTAGTCATCAACAACAATTTTTGATCTCGTAGGTAGCACAAAACAAATCAAATAAAACGCAAAACAAGTCAAAAGTCCAATGCTCACAGCTCAATCATGCTCTCTCATTCGCCCTCTTCCTCCCACTCTCTTTCACAAACATACATACACACACACATATATGTACATAGTTGAGCATTTGTGGCGACAATTTGTGCGCGCGCCCCCTATCGGCCACGCCACTGACTGCACTTTCCTAAGTTATTCATAGCATACACACATACAAAAACGCACAGCGAACACACACGCAATTAAAATTGAAAGACTCAAAATATGTTGGGCTGGCAACAAATTGTCAAGTTATGTAAATTTGGTTGTTTTTGCACTTTGCACGCTGTCGCAGAGCCGCGTCATGAGTGAAAGAATCTCGCCCGCTTTTGACGGCAGGTCATGGTGGTTGTTGTTGTTGTTGCTGCTGCTGCTGCTACGGCTGGTGTTGTTCTTGTTTTTGTTGCTGTTACCGCTGCTGCTGCGGTTATATCGACTGCTAGTTCAATTGAGCTTAATTGGCTTCAATTTGGCAATGGCCAATTGCAATTTGCCGGCTCAATTAAACTTTTTCGAGTCTCGACTTCACGGCGAATTCGTCAAGCAATATTCACACTCAAAATGGCGAACTTTGCACTCGCATTCGCCGTCTCTGTCGCTATCGCTGTCGTAGTTGAAGTCACGGCTTTGGGTGTGCTCAAGCAACGGGGATTTGGTTTCTGCTTTTGAATGCTCTTTCGTTTCGTTTTTGTCTTCTTCTTTTTTTTCTCGAAGTCGTCTACAATTACTCGCACTGCGATTGATTCGCCGTTAGTCAACCGGCAGCTAAACTCGAGTTCAATGCACTTGCATAGGCCAAACACATGGTCGCTGATATGCACTACAAAATGTAGAAAAGGGGCGAGGGAAGGGTAGATGGGGAGAAGAGGTGCTAAGACACTTACCCTTCACTTTGCCATAGACATCTTGCGATTTATCCCAAGCGGCATTCACCACAGGCAACTTAATGATGCGCTCCAGCGACTCCAAATGCGGCAACAGATCCTTGGCATCCTTTGGCGGCTCAGTTGGCTCGGCCACAGCGTTGCTATTTGGCTTTATTGTGCCGTTGTTGCCGTTGGTATTGCCTGTTGCATTTTTTTGCTCTACACTTGCCATGTTGCTTTTAATATATGTATGCTCTTTCTTTTGCTTCTTGCTTAATTTTCACTTTTTTGCTTTTTAGTTTTATTTGATTTTATGCTTTAGCACGGCACTTTTTTCGTCTTTTGTGGCACCAAAGAAAAAAAAGGCAGACAATTTTATATGTATTGTTAAGTGTGTATACGTATGTGTGTGTATGTCAATTCCACGAGCTAAAGAACTCGAAAAGGGGCTCTGTATATGTATGTGTGGGGGCCTGTATGTATATGTATATATACGATCTCTTCTACACTGGGCACGTCTACTCGCTGTCGCACTCAACGCGTTTCTGACTGACTTACAAGCTGCGCGGCTGGTTTATTATGAGGGCCTCTCCTCCAGAAGACGACGACGACAACGACGACGACGGCGACGCCGAAGCGAGCGCCGAAACGTATCGTAAGCGTGTGAGCAACAGAGAGCCAGAGACGTCGAGGCAGACAGAGATGGAGAGTGCGCAGCGCTCTCTCTTCGCTGCCTTTTGAGTTTTGGACTTGCGGGCACGTCAGCGCTGCTAACGCCGACAGAGCTGCACTGCAATACTGCACTTGAGCGACAGTCGACAGCGAAAGTCTGCGTCTGTTGCCGGGCGAATTGAGAGGGAGAGAGAAAGAGTAGCAAAGCGAAATGATTAAACGAGCAGAGGAAATCAATTGCAAATGTAGGCAAAATTCAATTTGATATTTCTGATGAGAACAAATTCGATTAATAAAGTTGTTCTTAGCAATTAAGTTTGACAACAATATTGCTCGCTTAGAATGTTAATTGCTTGACCGTTCACTGTTCGCATACACTGTGTGCGAACGTCTCATGCAAGCGGTGTTGGTAAGCGTCGCATTGTTACTTTGGACTTGAATTGAATTTCAACATGGGAAAATGACGTTTCGAAATTGGTGTAATCACATAAAGTGTTTATTTGCATTTGCAATGGGCGTGTACGCTGGGAGGCTGGTTGGCTGCTAGACTGAACGGGCGGTCAGGTGAATGTGATACAAGCGAAGCAGCATGCAATTCCAATTGGCATTTGCATAATTGGAATCACACCGAACCAGATGCTGGCAGATGGCGCGAGAGCATCTAAATGAGAGTGCATGCAAAGAGAGCAAACTGACGAGAGAGGGAGAGATAGAAACAGAGAGAAAGAGAGAGATTGGGAGAGCGAGAGAGTACACGCTTGAGAGGACGGGCCATGCTTGACAACTAGATTAACACGCAGAGCGCTGGCCCTCCATCCCGCACACAACCATTTATTATCAATTGTTTTGCTGTGTTTGTGTGTGTGCGTGCATGACCTTTGACCCAACACAGAATGCTAGAACATACTGCTGCGATAACACGCAGTGCAGTCCGCTTGACCAACACTAACAGAATAGAAGATCATGTCATCAGAGACGAAGATGGCGCCACGGCTGGCGTATTACAAGTGCGTCTGTACCTACACACAGACAGACACACGCACACACACACATACATCTGTATGTACTTAGCTTATACGTATACGTAATATTTGCTCAGCTCAATGTAATTGCAGCGCAGTTCCAAAGTTCAAACAACGGGTTCTGACTAAATGACTTGTGCTACAAACGAACAACTAAACGTTGAAGTGCTACAGTGGAGACTACACGGCTAGCAAATACCCTACAGCGGAAACCTAATATGAACTCAGACTTACACATGATAGATATGCACAGATATTACATAAAATATCAACAATTCAGTGTAAACAATATATTTATCGAATAATCAACTATTCGATAAGAGTTATAGATCATCTATAAATCGGTTAACTGTGCCTCAGGCGGCTAACCCACGCAATTTGTAAGCGATTATCTAGTTTATAAATCCATTTTAAATTCAATTTGAGGTCTACACAGCGTAAATTTGTGGAAGAAAATGGAGTGTTATCGATAACATCATGATATGTCACATATAGAATAAAATATACAACACTTCAAATAGATAGACTCATATAACTGTATAAGATCAGCAATTAATAAAGAAGTTATCGATATTTATCGTTTCATCAAAATGAGCTTGCATTACGGAAACAGCTCGCTCATAACTAGTGGGTATACCATAGACATGTTGAACTGCCAGACCCTAGCCCAAAAGCCGTCTGGGTCCAAAGATAAGCCGTCCCCAGACGCTGGCCCGTAAGTGAAGTACGCCCAATCAGTCGTCTGATACGTGGCCCAGTTCCGTTCGCCGACTTTACTGTGCGTCGTCTGGCCACAAACCGCATTTGGTATCACCGCCTGTTCCAAAGTTCAGCTCATTTGCGTTGTCATCATAGTGGGGATTGCGCTATAATCCAATCGAAGTGCTAATTATCGATGCTTATTACCGATATCGATATCTAAATGATTATACAGATAACGCTATTTCCCTCCCATGGACGCCCTCTCACACTTATTCGTTTGTCATTCGGTCGACTTTGAGCACCGACTTATCGCACTTACAAAACTACGTACCCCATTAAATATTTACAACATTGTAAATCAAATCAGACAGTTAAAAAAGCCATAACGGTACCTTGTAATTGTTTATGGACGTCTACAAAAAATACGTAATCAAAGCGTGAATCAAAACATGTTCACACAATGTCCGCTAATATTTATTTTATTTCGTATTATATGGAGTTTTTATTATCTGATGGAACCATTTTAGAGATCTTTCGAAATTCAAGTTTCTGAGAATTCCCTTTCCTCCTGGGACTTGATTCACTTTTAGATCATTCCAATTAGCAATCAGAATCGAGAATTGAAATCAGGACTCAGATTGTGCTTAGGAAATACCGGAAAGTTTTACTTTTCAATCGAAGTGCAACGCACTTTAGAAAAATTAGAAGTACGTTTAAGAAAAAAGGATAGAAGATGGAAGATGTAGAATAAAAGAGATGACAAGAGGAAACCAGAGCCAGATGAAGAGTACTTCGAATGTCAGCAGGAAGCAGAAGGAACTGGAGATGAGAAGGACGCAATTGAAGGAAGCAAGAAGAAGAAGTTGCTTTCTTAAGTAAGCAATGAATGGAGAAGAGAGGAAAGAAAAGGATAGACATGCATTGTGAAGACATCATAAAGCGGTCAAGTCAACAAAGCACTGAAAAACTGCACTATCTATACTATATCTATACCTGCATATACCCGCATATACATATGTATCTTTATCTTACTCTTACATAAACATCAAATCTAACATTTTAGTTAATGACTATACGATGTAGTTTATATATGTATGAATACTCTAACTCTACAATGTAGTGTCTATCTATCTATCTACCTCCTTTTGTTATATGTATGTATATACGTATGTCAACTGTTTAGCCATATGGCAATTACGTTATATTATCTATGGATTACGTCGTAAGGCAACCACACATCCCAATATCAAATGCACTCGCTACAAATAAGCATTGCGTTGTCGGTTATTGACACTCATCGTTCTTATCGTGCAATATACATGTACATAAATGTATATATATGAGTACATAGAAATCTAGTATATGCATATACTCTGGGGTCCATAGTATCTAAAGTCCAGAGTTTATTAGCAGCTGACTTCATTTGCAATTCATATGCCAGATGTTGCAGCATGTGTTGCGCTGCCAAGGCTTTTCCTATATATTTACCTAAATATGTATGGTGTATGCCTATATATATGTACATATACTAGTACTACTATTAACCCAATTCAGTGCCAACGTGTTTCTGTGTATCCAAAAATGAGAATGAAATAAAAATAAAATGATGATAAATTTGGACTTTGTTCGGGTAGAAATTCCGGCACATTCATTACGCTAATCATGCGTAATTTGGATGAGTCGTTGGCAAGTTCATTGTTCTTCTTCTTCCTCTTCGACCAGACATTATCGCACTTGCTAAAAACAACAACAACAAAAAAGTGTGTACCCAAAGCTCAATTTTGATAAGTTAAGAAAAGTTTTTTTTTTTTTTTTTTTTTTTTTTCTTCTAGTTTAATTATATCGTAATGCTGAATGTCTGTCAAAACACAATTCTTATCATATGATGATATATAGTGCTCTTCAGAACACCATTTTTTTTTTTAGATTTATTTTTTATTTTATGTTAAGTGCTTAAGCGTCGTGACTATCTAGTAATAAAATAACCACGCTTTGTTGCTTTATAAATTAATTTGTATTCAACTGAAGACTTAGAAATGTTTGAAAGCTTTATGAAATCGCTTCGCAAGTACTCGAGATATAGTAAGTACGTATATACATACATATATGTATGTATGTATAAATGTACGTATGTATGTCGAGTGCAATTTGAATGCCAGATGTTGGCTACCTGTTGAGTTTCCAGAGACTATTACTAAAATCCAAGGTGATATTTTAGTTCTATAATTCATTTTTCGTTCTAAACAGCTGTGGATATTGTTTTTTTTTTTCCAGAAGGTAACTATTATGTAGAAACTAAGTTTAACAAATTGCAGAACACATCTTAAAAAAAACATATGTATGCATGTACACAATCTTGCTTACTTACATATTAACTTAGAGAAATTTAAATAAACGCTATACAATTAATGAGAAAGCTTTCAACATTAGTCCGAGCTCCATAGATGGCTTAGAACTCAAGTTACTTTGGCCTATTTTTATGCAAGCAAACTTAATCGCATGCAAAAATTTCAAATTAACTGTTAGGCTCGGCTTACTGTAAATTATGATCCTTAAATACAAAACACATGTCTGGCTCTCTTTGGCTTTCCCCTTCTGCCACGCTCTCGCTCTCACTCTCTCTCCTTCTTTGATTGCCTCGTTTAAATGTTAAACGCCACTCGTCATAAAGCAGACCACAGGAAAAAAACACCAACAACAAAAACAATAGCAGCCGCAACAAAAAAAGCACCCAGACAGTTGGACTTTGAACGCTCTACGTGTCGCGGCTAGCGTCGCCGTCTGCGTGGCTAGTGACGACGACGACGCAGCAGCGACACTGCCGGCGTCGCGCTGAAGCGTTGAGAAAATTCGATGAGTGGTAGAGCGCGAGTTTAATTTGTTCGGCAGCAGCAGCAGCAGCAACAGCAACGCAAAAGCACAAACAAAAAAAAAAAAAAACAAAAACAAGCATGAAACTCTTTACTCTTTTGACTAAATTTAGACAAGAGCAAAGACCAACTCTTGGCGTACGTCACATCGCACATTGTACATACACGAATACATACACATATACATATATGTATACATATACGCATGCCATTAGTTGCCATCTTGGGGGTACAGTTTGACATGCCACACGCGTCTACAGCTCACGCAGTAGATCAACATGAGTGCAGAAGTACTTGCAAAGACACATACACAGACGATTTACACACACGTACATAAATATACTCGCATACTCGCACACAAATATCTGTGCGAATTTGTTTTTGCATTTCATTATTTGCGTTGTGGTGTTTGACAGCTCGCTGCTTGCTCAATGACAAACGGTTAACTAAGCTTTGCATGAAAATATGCCCTGATAGTTGTATACATACACACACATACATATTTATATACTACATGTGTTTGAATGTATGTATGTATGTATATGTATATACATACTGTTAATTCGCCGGCTGAACTTTGAATTTAAGCAATGCTAATTTCAGCTCTTATTGTTGTTGATTTTCTCTTCTGCTGCTTCTTATTTGGACGCTTCCGTTGCCGTTTGAATTCTTGATTTTGTCTATTATAATAATCTGTTTGTCTGTATGTCAACATGTATGTATGTGTGTGCGTATCTGTGTGTATGCATACACATCTGTTAGCGCAAGTTTTTTTTTTCATATTTATTGTTTTTGTCTTTTGTTGTTTGTTAAACGCAACCTTGATCTTTTATTTTTGGATGTGCGAATTCTAGATCTGCTGTCTGTGTGCAAGTGCGTGTGTGTGTGTGTGTGCGTGTGAACTGCAGCAATAAACAACAAAATTTGATACGATTTGTATGCTGGCGACAATCCAATCCCCAATCCAATCCTAAGAAGGAGATAGATTGGATTAATTGACTGACTGATGAATTGACCTAATGAATGCATTGAACTAGCTGCCATAATTTCGCAAGCAAACAAGTGAGGACAGAATCATGAAAAGTTAAAACAAATAAGTTATTAATTTAATTGTTGCGATAAATAATGCAGGTGAGAACATGGCATGGTACACATTCGATTCTATATGGTCTATTGGGTCAGGTCAGAGCCTTGATTGTGGCAGAGGCGGACACAGCGGAGGGGGTGGGACTGTGAACGCGAGCAGCTGTTTTCGCCGTTATATGTCCTTAATTATAACGGCCCCAAAAGGATATTCAGTTCCAGTCGAAGATGGAGACCGAAAGCATGCCCGCAGCTCCCTTGCTGAGCAAATCGAATTCGGTTTTTTGCTGCTATCTATTTTGGAGTAGTCTGCTCATACTTAAAATGCTATGCATGTCTCTACTGACAGCCAGGCAGCGCATTAAAACCAAAACGTTTGCTAATCCGGAGGATTTGCGGGTGGGCCGATGCACGGATGTGCGTTTCAACGATCCCAATGTGGAGCGAGTGCGTCGGTAAGTGCAAACAAGTAAAAATAAATACATGCATTTGTATGTATAGAAAATAAAAGATAATCAAAAATTCCAATTAAATGTGTTATACAATGCCTGTACATATGTACATACATACATGCATATGTGATCATATGTCACGTACGTTCTTAAAAGCCATTAAAAGCTCATTAATGACGTCACGCAGTGATCCACGCTCCAGAAGCAGCGCATCATGCGATCTGCCGAATATTTAGATTGTGACCTAAGCATTAAATATTATTTAATTTAATTGTATAATCTAATATGCAATTCATTATCATGATTGTCCCGCTTCAAGTTAATTGAGCTAAAAATCCACTTAATTGCTTTGCCAATATGTATGTATGTAAATATGTAGTGTGTGGGCCACACACTTTCACTCTCGCCTTGCAGTTTGTTGAGCGCTTGTCCCACACACGTCATAATTGCACTTGAGCAGCTTCGCTATAGAATTCAGTTAGGCTATGAGCAATATACATATATGTATGTATGTACACATATTAAACAAAGTTATCAATGTTTTTTTATACAATCCTATGTATGCAAATGTATAATATATGTATTATAATATTAATTACGATATTTTGTGCTGCTTGAATGTAGTGTGTGGGATGCTTTTTCCTACTCTCTTGACCTCTCTCTCTCTCTCTCTCATACTATCTATTTCTTATTGCAGCGCTCATCGCAACGATTTGGAGAATGTGCTGCCCTTTTTGCTAATGACCCTCGCCTATGTGGCCTGCGGCCCCCACCCATTGACCGCCAAGCTGCTGATACGCATTGGAGCCAGCGCTCGACTGTTGCATACGCTTTTCTATGCTGTGCTGCCGCTGCCGCAGCCGACGCGAGCGATCTGCTTCTTTATCACGTTCAGCATTGTGTGCTTCGAGGCGGTCTATGTGCTCATCTGTTCCATCAAATATATCTAAACGGAAGAGACGAATGATGTAGAGCGAGAAAGAGAGGAGACGGAGAGGAAGATGTTGGATTTATGAGCCGTTTAGCATTTTATGTTTTGCCTAGTCACCTAGTCAGTAGCTTCTCTAGTCGCACGCACACACACACACAAACACACACTTATGAATAGTAGCTTGGAACCAGTTTGACTAGTTGGCGCTGCGCTGTTTGAGTTGGAACTGGAACTCCACATTGGATCACTTGCCAAAGTACGCTTTAGCCGCACAGACAGAAAACAGACGCTCGACATGTCCAACACATCTGCTCCTACGATGCATGATAAGCTGACAAATATGGAGCTGCTCACACTGGACAATCCTGTCTTCTGTTGCTATCTCTTTTGGGCCACAGTGTTGGTGGTGAAGATGCTGCTCATGTCCCTGTTGACGGCGTTGCAGCGCTTCCGCTACAAGGTAAGTCCTGGATGTGCCACACACAGTCACACACACACGTCTGCAGCTCATTCTGCGATTTCGAAATTCACAGCTGTTGGGTCTGGTGCCGCTGGCAGTGCGGCGCAAGGTAAATCCTGCATGCTTAAAATAGTCATAATGTTCGGTGTATGGGACCCAATTGGAACTCTGCTTGCTTTTTGAATACTTTCGCTCTTGCCATCCACATTGCTTCGTAGTGTATGGGACGAAATTTCTCATGAAGCTTCATATTTCCATTCACGATCCTGCTCTCGCTCTCATCAACAACATTGGTTCTATAAATACCAAATGCAATTATATTCTTTCTACGTATTGGAAACTAAACGGTCACACATACTTATGCATGTAAATATGTATGTACATGTATACATATAAATTATAAAATTGTATACATTAATGCATACACATGCCTGTATGTATGTTTGAGCTGTTTGACAACATTTTGCAAAATTGGCAATCGCACCGTCTCATTCACTCAGTTATTTTTAACTGATGTTCTTTACTTTCCCTCTCGCTTGCACTTTATTTAATGCGTATAGTATTAAGTGGAAGTGGTTACCCTTCCAGCCAGCGCCTTCCATTAATTCCATTGGCCTGCCACCATATTTCAGGTCTTTCCCAACGAAGAGGATCTGTTTTTCAAGAACATTGAAGTGCAGTTCGATGATCCACATGTGGAACGCGTGCGAAGGTGGGTATGCAAAACAGCCAACTGAACGAGATTGACAGCATGCTCTCTCCCTCTCTCTCATTGTAGAGCTCATCGCAATGATATGGAGAATATTTTGCCATACTTCATCATGGCCTTGATCTATGTGTGCACCAACCCCAATCCTCTCGTGGCCTGCAATCTGTTCCGCGTGGCTGCTATTGCACGCATTGTCCACACGCTCGTCTATGCTCTCTACCCAGTGCCGCAGCCATCACGAATTTTGGCCTTTGCCACAATGCTACTGATTACCTTCTACATGGCTGCCGTTGTGGCATTACGTACATTGCGTTTCATTTGAGCGTACGAATTTCAAAAGTGGCGCCATAAAAGCTTGCGCGCGCTGACTTCACATAGTAACATTGGCCAGGGCAGCACAAATAGGTTTAGGGTTGAAGAGCTTAAGTGATTTTTTTTTGTTTTTTTAAATATGCTGCGTTACATAATAAAAGGTAACACTTGACGAAGCTCACTTTTTTTGAAGGCATTACAGCTGTGGCGTTGTCTGTTAAATTTTTCTGCAGTGCTTACAAAATAAAATGTTTCTATGACAGCAAACGAGTTGTCAAGCGAAAGAATTTCTGACGTCACAGTTACAGGACAGAAACGCAAGATCTCTCGCTGCTCTCGCGTCACGATTTGTTTGTACATGTAAACAAACCATGAACCGGACACTCGTTCATTTAATCTAACTAGCTGATAACACGGAGGATGACGGCGGGAGTTGAGGAACCAGTTAAGAAAAGCGCGATAATCTCTGACGTCACAGGTGCTCTGTATCGCAATTTAAGCACTCTTACGTGCAAAGAATGAAAGCGAAAATTTGCGTTTGGTTTCAATAAATTTTGGCTTTTTGTTTTTTTAAATTAAATTAACTATAATTAGCTTGAGATATAACAAACGAAAAAAAAAAAAAATTGGGATATTAATTTAAGTTAACGCGCCAGTGGGTGGGGAGATGCCGCTTTTGTATGCTAAGTAGTATTCCACCGACCCAGCATTCAGCTTCTTAGATATTGAAGCCAGCATCTCGCATGCATTGCTTGTGTGCCTCGATCAGCTTTGTGCAGTTCTCCTCCCCGTTCTCCACAATGCTGCAAATTGCAAAAGCACAAATTGATTAGACTACAGAAAGCAAGCGCAAATGCAACATCAAATTTTGTTGCGTCATCGCATTTTTACTTACCACTGGTCACGTGCACGCTTCGTTTCGGGGCAGGCACAGCAGGCTTTGCACTTGGGTTTGTCACCGCCGGCGGCGGCTGCATTTGTCGCTGTAGTTGCGGCGGCGGTCTCCACGACTCCGACTCCCTTTGATGAACTGCTGCCCATTGTTATATTGTATGTTAATTACGCAGAGACTGGGATAATATAATAAAAGTGGGTTTTAGGTGAATTCTATGCACTTCTGCTTGTGATGGCATTTGTTTATGTAATAAATCTTACCTAAATTAAAAAATTTGTGCAGTTTATTTCACCACAATTCACACGAATAACAAATTTCAAGTTCACACACACACGCACGCGACGAACAGCTGATTGTTTATTTGCCTATCGATAGGCGTCGCTGCAGCACACGTGCTCAACAGTGTTGTCAGCTCAGCTTTTTTATAGTCAAATTTTGAATGCACTCTCAATGCAATTTATATCGTAAGCCGTAAGTGTATTTTGTAGTATGTGTATGTATTTAATGTTAAATATATTCTGTATGCTGTGTGTGTATTGAAATGCAATGTGTAAAGAGTGACAATTATTTCATAGAAAGTATGATTTAGAAACAGGCAGGCTATTTATAAGCGATATATATATATCCATAGTGGCATACATATATATGCCTATTCGTAAGCATGTCCAAATATTTAAATATTTTTATATGTAGCTCCTTTGCTACGGCTGGCATCACTGTAAATAAGCGCATAATGTGGGTCAACTATCGTTGATACTATCGATATGCAAGCTACTTGGTGTATTTCCACCTCTACTGTTTACTACATGTTTATTGAAATTTGTTTATATTATAATGAATGGTTTTTAGACTGTTTCCATTTGATCCGCGCTGGTGCTGGCTGGCGCTGACTGCTTCAGCCGCTGCAGCATATTGTGTGACACCAAATCTAGTTTTAAATGCTGAACGCTTAACGCGCTGCCGTCCCAATCAAGCAGCATTTTGAATTTGGCCGGATCGCATAGGTTTAGCAATTCTGTTAAAGCAAATTTTTGATATGATGTATTTAAATATATAATTTATAGTCTGTCTTGCTCTTACCCATGCCGCCGCTCTGGTACTCATTGCGCTCCCTTTCCAGTGTTATTCTGATGACATCTTGTCGCGCTGCGTGCTGATTGGCGCGGTTTTTGCCTATCGATTGCTTGAGCGCTATTTGCTGCAGTTCCTCGTCGAACCTATGCAGGTACAGCTCAATTAGCTCCTCAAATTCCTGTGGGCTCAACGGCGTTGTGCGCTCCTCATCAATGTGGCCGAGAAACCAGCTCAGCTTCTCGCCCATTATGTTGCTTTTAATTGCATGGCCGAGGCGGGTTTTGTGCTTGTTATTCTGTCTGCGCGCCTTTTTGCCCAACGCCTTAGTCTTACGGCTGTTGGGGTGTTTGCATTTCTCCAGTTCTTTACGTAAATTTGCCTGCAATTTTTTGAAATTGAATTTATTTATTTACTTTTTAAGATGTTGCTGCGACTTGCCATCTTGCTGCTGATCACGTTGTTTTTGTTTGCTGTCACAGCTGCTTGGTAGCTAACGATATTTCAACAACAGCTGTTGTCGCTAGAGGGCGCCAGTTCCGATTGGTTTGAAAATCTTTTCAGTGTTGTGCACGTCAGCATTTGGCTACAAAATATTTAGCCTTTTTTGTAACAAAGTTATCAATTTCTCCAATACTGTTATAGAAAAAAAAAGTTTTTCTTCTTTCAAACGCATTTTGACATTTTCATGGCTAGCACAGCTGTTTTGAGACACTTTGCTGTAATAATTTGAGATAAGAGACAATTATGTAATAGAACTAAATATTCACTGTGTCTTTCTTATTTCTAGGTTTCAATAATAATTTAAAAGATTTTCTGGACAATTCTATATCACCAGCAATTTTTAGCTATTAAGTTTGATAAGTGATTGACATTCTGTTAGCACTGCATTAGCTAGTCGCTAGATGACGCTAGCTTCAATCGATTTTCAAATTCCTTATCGATGTTGGACATTTGAAAGATGTTTTGAAGCTAGGTGGCGCTAGAGCAATGATCAGCTCCACCTGGCAAACAGCTGGCAAATGCAAAACAAACTGACAACCAGAAGTTCGCTTGATAAGGGCGTTCATTGGGGGCAGTTGAGTGGATTTTACGCATCGACTCACACATTTTGCAGCATTTAGAGGTATTTTATACGGAATTAATAGCCAACCAGGACAGAACTTAACTTTAACGGTATTTCACAATTACAGGCCATTACCAACAAACATTCACCAAATTGGCCATGGCAACACATTTGCTACGAAATGGCAGCACATTTTGGCTGCTCAAAAATTGCCAACGCTCGATGCCATTCATAGTAAGTGGAGACTAATGACCAATAACTAAGTTCTTTGAACATCTTTGATCAATATTTGTAATTTATGAGCGGCGAAAAGTATAAAAGCAACGGACACACGAGAAAGTCGCGATGTTCTGCGATGTTCTATTATGTAATCGAATTCGCACAACAACAAGTGGCAATTCGTTTGTCCGACAGCATGTGTGCGAGCGCGATAGCATGCTTTTTACGCACAAAACGCGCAACAGGTGCGACAGAGCGAGCGCGAGGGAGAGGGAGAACGCACACGATTTGTTTCGCTGTTCTCGCATTAATACCGAAAGGGGGCGCATGCCTGTTTGACTTTACCATTTAATGTGCTCAATCAATTGAATAAGTTCGCGAATCGGGTATATTGTGTTTTTGCAAGTAGTTGCAGCGGGAGAATGTAATAAGATATAAAATAGTGTATATATGTATGTATATATAAGCATTGCTATATGTGTAGAGTTCAGTCTTACTCTGTTTTAGGAGATCTGTTAGAGCTTTTGTTGGAGCTTATTTCTAATGGAAGCTCATTGTTAATAAGGTATATGCATATAAGGTATATACATATATATAAATTCATATATTTTCTTCAATTTTAACCTTAATTAGAACTGTAACACATAACTAATATCGATAAATATCGATTTGCATAAGATTCGCTAGCATATAAGCACTGACTATATATGCAGGGTATTTGTGAGTCACACAAGTTATATTTCAGCATTTTCCGCTTCATTTGCACTTTGTCTTGAAACGTGGATTTTGATATTTGAAATTGGTGGCATTTGAATAACTTTGAGCCCTTTTCAGGTGTCGCGCTGCCTGCAATTGACGCCTCGCCTGGAGAAGAAGATCGCCTTCAATCTGAGCGACATTGGCGAGGGCATACGCGAGGTGACCGTCAAGGAGTGGTTCGTGAAGGTGGGCGACACCGTCGAGCAGTTCGACAACCTGTGCGAGGTGCAGTCGGACAAGGCATCGGTGACCATCACCAGTCGCTACGATGGCAAGATCACGCGCATCTACCACAACATCGATGAGCTGGCTCTGGTGGGCAAACCGCTGCTCGAGTTCGAGGTGGAGGATGCGGAGGAGGAAGATGACAGCAGCAGCAGCAGCAGCAGCAGCAGCAGCAGCGATAGTGATGCGCAGCCTAGTCCAGCAGCAGCAGCTGGCGGTTCGTCCGCTGGTCGTCATATAACACCCGCCACGCCCGCCGTCCGTCGCCTGGCCAAGGAGCACAAAGTAAATCTGGCCAAGGTGCCGGCCACAGGCAAAAATGGACGTGTGCTCAAGGGCGATGTTCTCGAGTATTTGGGTCAAGTGCCGCCCGGCACCAATGTGCCCCATCCCAGCAATACGCAAGCCAAGCTGGCTCCAGCCGCCACTCCGCCCTTGACGGCGCCAGCGGATCGTGTGGAGCAGCTCAAAGGCGTGCGCAAGGCCATGCTCAAGTCGATGATGGAATCCCTCGTAAGTAATAGAAGGACGTACAAACTGAAGTTTCTTCTATGCATATGCACATTGAAGTGAAGTCCCGTTTTTCCACATATATGTAATTATGTTTCCATTTCTTTTCATAGAAAATTCCACATTTTGCGTACAGCGATGAGATCGATATGTCGAATCTGGTCAAGTTCCGGAGCCAACTGCAAGCGTCTGCTCAGGAGCAGGGCGTGCCCAAGCTAACCTTTATGCCGTTCTGCATTAAGGCCGCCAGCATTGCCCTGACCAGGTATCCGATTCTGAATAGCTCACTGGATTTGGCTAGCGAGTCGATCATCTATAAAGGCGCCCACAACATTAGCGTTGCGATCGATACGCCCCAGGGTCTGGTGGTGCCCAACATCAAGAACTGTCAGGCGAAGAGCATCATTCAGATAGCCAAGGATCTGAATGCGCTTGTCGAGCGCGGACGCACTGGCTCCCTAGGTCCCGCGGACTTTGCCGACGGCACCTTCTCGTTGTCCAACATTGGCGTCGTAAGTGATCTATGTCTATAAATAGAATTGGATTGGATCTGATGTAATTCTTGAACTTTCAGGTGGGCGGCACGTATACACATCCCTGCATAATGGCGCCCCAGGTGGCCATTGGCGCAATGGGACGTACCAAGGCGGTGCCGCGCTTCAATGACAAGGACGAGGTTGTCAAGGCATACATCATGAGTGTTAGCTGGTCGGCGGATCATCGTGTCATCGATGGCGTCACTATGGCCAGTTTTTCCAATGTCTGGAAGCAGCACCTGGAACAGCCGGCGCTCTTTTTGCTCCACTAAACCAGGCTGCGAAGCTTCCATCGATCAACCATTAAGGCTGTTCTCTTGCATTTATTTACAAAACAGAAAGATAGAAAACAAAAATGAAAGAAAGTGAGAAAGAAAGCAAACAAAACCTTTGCAACTGTTTTCAGTGCCTTATGGCCGCCATGTGACGCTCAACCCAAATTATCCCCTCTCCCCTTCAGAATGTGCATTTATAGCGGACGCCGCCCGTGCGAGCTCCTCTTTAGCTTTAAGCTCGTTGCGCACTTGGCTGGCCAATCAAAAAGCGACTCCCAATCCCATACCCCTTTAATTCAATTGTTATGATGTTTAACGCTGCTCACAGTTTAACTGTAAGTTGCATATTTTAAATATATGTACATATATACACATAAGTATATATTATATGTACTCCTGTTGTAATTGGTTGTCTAAATAAATAAAGAGCCTTTTTTTTAGCTCTGTAGCTAAATTTTGTTCAACTCTTAGTCAGGATAAAGCTAAAATGCTATATTTTAGTTAGTGCTGTCAGTGTAGCCAGTTTACAGCTAGATTTAGCTCTTGGTGCAGCTAAAATATAAATATGCCAACGCTCTTAAGCAGCAACGGTGAGAAAGGCACATAAATATTTATATATACTATGTATATATAGATAGATATAGATTTTCTTATCTTTATAAAAATATGAGCGTAAAACATTTAGACACACACACACGCACTTCTGCACATTTATTTTTTGGCTTTCAGCTTAACTCACAGCTATTTGCGCCTGCTTCCAACAACACAGAAAGTCACTTACTCACTCACGCATAGTGAGCCTAATTGCCGTTGTTTTTGCATTGGAACGCACGTGGCTGACAGCAGTCATGCGCAGTGCCTGGAAGCGGAATCCAACAAGTGCGGCATACAAATGAGCCATAGCAAAAAAGAAAAGAAAAGTGGCTAAGCAGAAATCTGTCTGACTGGAGCGCATGGCATTTCCAGTCTGCCAACGGCCGTTGGACACATACACATACAGGCATACTTATGTACATATAGGAATTTCAACATGCGGCCACACAGCGGCCCACCACTACTCACCACAATCCACCACATGCCACCACACATGTTTGAGCGCTCTCTCACACACACACACAATGGGCACCGCGTCCTGGATGCTTATTAGTCACAGTAATCAGTTATACCACGGACAGCGCGCAGCACAGACGTTGAAACGGCAATTGGAAATATATCCTCTTAGTCAGTTGGAGCTGCAGTTGAGCAAAACGCTGGCCGTGCAAAGCAAAAGAGTAGTAGTAAATAAATTACAGTTTTAAGAAGCGTTCAGCGTGAAACGCGCCTTTTTGTTATAGTTGTTGCAGTCTGTTCTTTTTTTTCACAAAATATATTGTTGCTCTTTAAATAATATTTTGTATGGTGTGTGATTTACTGTTATACACTCTTTGCGCCCATGCAGCGCAACAATTGTAATAAAAGAAAAATGTTGACGCATTAAACTGTGTGAGAATAATAATTGCCTGGCGAACTGGTAAGTAACACAGTGCCAAAAGTGTGCTATGTTTTTTGTTATATCTTATTTAAGCCAATAAAATCGGCTGTGTGTGTGTATACTCCTACAATAGCAAAAACAGCTAAGGTATCGACATATTCATTGCTGCTGCGGCTGCTGTTGTTGTCATTGCTGTTATTACTGCTGCTGCTGCTGCTGCTGCTGCTTAACGATTTTTCCAGTGACCTTGTTGCGTACGCGAACGCCCGCTACGAGCGTGCCAGCGCGTGTGAGTGAGTACGCATGCTGTGAGTGTGAGCGTGTGTGTCATTGTTACTCTCGCCTTGTGTCAACCCACCTCAGCTGCGTCGCGTATTTCTGGAAGTCCCAGCTGTAGGCGCAGCGACGTTCATTTTGTTTTTGCTTTTACGCTGCTATTCCTCTCTTCTCTTCATTGTCGCTTGTAGCACAGTTTTGAGCGCAATTCGCATTAAATGTGGGCATATCTGAGCGTGTGTGCGTACGTGTGCGTGTTTGCTTTTGATTGTGTTTGCAGTGTTTTTTTTTTTGCCCCTGGTCTTGGCTTTACTTAATTTCCAATGAATTTTTTATGTAGCGCTTTGTTGTTTTGCTGCCCATTTTGCATTAATTGAATTTGCCCAACGCACATTTCGCGCTTGTTACTTTTGTGTGTTGTTGGCTGTGTGTGATAAGATTTGACAGCTTGACTGTCGCATTTTGTGGCCTTGATGATGTGGCTGGTCCGTTGGGTTTGCTTTTTCTTTTTCAGCTGTCTCTTCCTCTTCGCGCTTCTTTTTCTGTGCATATCCCTATCTCTTTCGCGCTGCTTGTCTTTGACCATCAGCTAGCATAACGCAATGCAATTGCCGAGCCTTTTATCGATTTTATGCCCCAACAGCTAACAACTGGGCACGTGCGAATCAACAACAACAACAACAACAACGAGTCATTCACACCACTCGACGGGCCCCAGGCAACACACACTGACATACACACGTACATACATACATACATATGTAAAAGAAGACGCATAGCGTCAAATTAATTGAAATAGCAACGCCCGAGAGACGTTGCCTCAACACTCGAGTTCTTAAGTAAGTGGCCCAGCGAGCCGTACCAGGAGACATACAGAGGAAGTGGCGAGG